CACCATTTTTTTCACATATCTTGTTCTCTTGAAGGTGAGATGAGAAACGATCTCTACATAACGCTGGAGAAGGGCGAGTTCGAGAAGGGAGGAAAGAGCGTGGCGAGGAACGTAGAGGTCACCGTCTACGTGCTGGACGCCGATGGACAGATCCTCAAGGTTTTTCAATTCATAAATGTGTCCTGTTCCCATTGCTTTCTTACGAGTACAGACAATCTAGGATACCAGAACTAAAAACGCATTGCTAAGGTAATATGAAACAGCATTAAAGATGTCAAGCTCATCTAAATCTTGCATATAGTTTTCTCACAGTCATGGCTGACAAACAGCCATCGAGGTGGAGCGGTGAGAGGTTTGTGGTTTTCCGTATCCTCTCACACTCAGTCTGTGTCGACTGCGTCTCTCTGCAGGGGTTTGTGGCCGTGGGCTCGGGCGAGCCGGGCGGAGACGAGTATCACACCTTCGTGCTTTACCACAACAACAGCCCGCGCTGGGCGGAGCTAATCAAGCTGCCCATCCCAGTCGACATGTTCCGGGGCTCTCATGTCCGCTTCGAGTTCCGCCACTGTTCCAGTAAGTCCGACGCGACTGATAAGAAAACCATTGTTCTTTTTGATCCTCGCTTTAGGATGCATTTCATATTCACATAAGACTGAGGCAAGACAGTATTTCCCACACTTAATAAATGCGGAGCTTGAGAGAGGAAGTTAAATTGGCTGAATTTCAAATGAGTGTTGGAGAGTGCAGGAGATGTAGCAGTGAACCGTGTGAGTCAGAGCATCACTAATGGGCACTTAATATGGGCAAGTATAATCCAGAAGTGGAGATCGCCATGGGGTATTTTTGGGTCTTTTTTTATGCAAATAATTTCCAGTTAAGCATATGTGCTTAATTCAGTTCTGTATTTGTCAGATGTGTAGAGTTCCTGTACACCAAAACACCTCAAATCATCTGAAGGACATCATTCATTGATCTATTGACCAGTATGAATTTTTTTGCTGGTCCAAACTGGTTTATGCTAGTTTTGGTGCTGGTATAGGGTTGAGTATCAAGGTTTTTATTCAGAATAATGATGCGGGAGCCAAATGATTAGTTGATGTGGCTTTGGTTTTGTGCAAAATGACACAATGATGTCACTGGCCATGTGCGGCCTATTTTTATTCTTATGTTATTCAGTAGTTGACTTTTGAATGTGTGAGACATTGTTTTTTG